CACGCTCGCTGCACAGCATTTAGCTCTCAGCAAGCCGCAGCCGCAACCTGATCGGGGGGAGGGCCAGCATTTGAGGGGCGTGGCAGCGAAGTCCGCTTACAGTAGCAAAGAAACTGTGAAACGCATTCCAAATTGTGTTGCATAGTTTGCTCTTTAATTCAAGTTTATTTCAGATTAGACCATAACAGAAACTCAATAATTCACATCCACCGTTAGCTCATCCAAGAAGCTGGCGCCTCTGGGACAACCGTGGAACTGGTGCAGACAGTCGACGCCGGCCAGGCCTGCGGCGTGGGCCTCCTTGTAGTGCTGATCGAGTCGCGCCTTGCCGGGTCTGCAATGGGGAAATGAAGCCTTAGGCAATTGAGATCTTCGATCTACACGACTTACGTTAGCAACAAATTCAGGAGCTCGGCTATGATGCCCACATGGTGATGCACTTGCGCATTCTCGCACATGGCACGGAGCAGGCACTGACGACCACGACCCGGGACGCTGCTCGCGTTGTCCATGTAGTGCTCCAGGGCGGCGTAGGCAAAGAGGCGTGTGTCATCCTCGTGCGATGCGTCCAGCTGCCGTATCTTTTCCTTGAGAGATCGGGAAAACACGGAATCCCATTTGTCCCACGGGTAGAGGGGTGTCGTTGGCAAATTGTAGCCTCCCAGGTGTACCACCACGAACGCGACAAAGCTGCGCCACTTATACGGATCATCCAGCTGGATGGCAGACACGGGGACAAGCAATAGGCGAATGGTGCTTCCTCTCGGGAAAATCAACTGGCGCTTCTGGCGCGCGAGCAAGTAAGCCGTTAAGTTTTGGGCAGGCGCTATCACATCGTAGGAGCCGTGCAGGACTGGCAAGAGGCCAATGAGCGGCAGCAGACAGATTGTGAAATGCATTGCGAACTCCAAAGACAGTTGTGTGTGGAGTGCAAAAAGCGCTTGAAGAATCATCGTCGATAGCTCCGAAACAATCAGAATTGCGAATGCCGCTATGATGAATGATACAAATAAAACCAATATTTGCGCACACAATTAGCAGATGAATTGGGTTATAAAGCTTGGCACCGCGATTCATGCAGCTTGAATAATTTTCCATAATTCACATATAATTATTAATAAATACAATACGAAAACATTTCTGAATTATTCTAATCACTTATAATAGTCAATGCAATAATAATAGTAATAAAATAAAATAATAGTTTATTCAATTTTGAAATACCCGCTGCATAAATCGGAACTGCCAACTTGAATAGAATGACTCTTTTTGCGTGTTGCAATTGCCAATTGCCTATGAGATTTAATCTATATATCCTAAACACTTTTGCTTAGAAAATTATATTAATCATAACAGACAACTTTATTTCGGTATTCAAATAGTTGTTGTTGTTAAATTGTCATTCTTAATATCTGAGCAAAATTTAAAGTGCGCGCTCTATAATCTGCGCTGCCAACCTTGCTTATAATAAATGGTGCAAGAAATAATAAGATCCACAGCAGTGTGACCGCATCCAAATTATGTAAAAATGCCCTAACTTAATTTTCAAATACCAAACTAAATGAATTTCGGCCACACCTTATCGAGCTAGCATTCAACTTCATTAGACATCTGTTCAAAAATTAACTTGAAAAATGAGCAACGAAGCGGCCAAAGCCCAGATCGCCCAAGAGAAAATTGTCGCCCAGTTCCAACAGCTGCGGAATGAACAAAGAAACCTGGCCAACAGCCTCAATACGCTGGAAATGGATCTGCGCGAACACAAGTGAGTCAGAAGGGACCGCTAAACCTAACCTCCAAAATATCAAATATAAACAACAAATTGTCGTTATCCATATATTCCAATAGAACTGTGATAGAAACACTGAATGCAGTGGACCCCGACCGCAAGTGCTTCCGCCTCATCGGTGGCGTGCTGTGCGAGCGCACCGTTAAAGACGTCCTGCCTCAGCTCGTGGAAAACAAGGAATTCATTGCGAAGACCATCGCGACTGTCACAGCTGATCTGAGCAAAAAGGGCGTGGAGCTGAACAAATTCAAGGAGGAGCACAACATCAAAATACGCGGTGAACAAATAGGCACCGACGCCGCCAAACCGGCGGACACGGAAAACGCCAGCAAATCCGAAAATCGCAACGTGCTGGTCTCCTAATCGAAGCCAAGAAATAAACACCAAACAGCAGACGAGATGTACGAGGAGAACGAAGCGTATTTATTGTGTCCATTGAGGTTCTTTGTGCGGCGGCACTACAATAATGAATGCATTGATTATGATTCTAATGTTATATGTAATTTTAGCTATAAGGCGCCGTTACACACGCAAATGTCAATCATCCAGGTCCCAACCCATCCCACCACCCCACCCTACTCACATTTCCACATTCGCACCACCCACCCATTGATTCACACACATTCACATGCATAACTCTCACCCGATCGGCCCACAATTAAAACAAAAAGAGCTAATTTGAAATGGCAAATGGATGCACAAGCTGAGTGATTTTATTGACGCTGGTAATCCCGCTTGCCGCCCGACTTGCTCAGCAAGCGCACATTCTGGATGCAGATGTCGTGGGAGACGGCCTTGCACATGTCGTAGACGGTGAGCGCGGCCACAGAGACGGCCATCAGGGCTTCCATTTCAACGCCAGTCTGGCCGCTGCAGCGCACAGTGGCTACCAGGCGCACGGAATGCTGCTGCTCCAGTAGCGTGGCCTGCACTCGCACCGATGATAAGGCGATATTGTGGCACAGCGGTATCAGAAGCGACGTCTGCTTGGCCCCCATGATGCCGGCTAGCTGGGCCACGCTGAGGACGTCGCCCTTGGCCAGTTCGTTGGCTGCAATCAGCGCTGTCAGACGCTCGCCCACAAGAACCGTGGCCTCGGCGCTGGCCGTGCGGGTGGTATGAGCTTTGCCGGCGACATCCACCATTTGCGCCTTGCCTTGGGCGTTGATGTGCGTCAATCCACTGCAGTTGCGCAGCTGTGCGTGCTGTGGTTGATGAGGATGAAGCATGGTCCTGCTGCCGATCCTGTAGCTGCCGATACCTGCAAGCAAACAGTTCGTTCTAGGGGAATGGTGTGCAATCTCTGTGCTAGCCGCCTATGAGTATCATTGGGCGATTTTCCATTTGCGACAGATTCAGCATGCCTGCGTAGGATTAATGCGCCCATTAATACAGACAACTACAAATGGTGATCCCCAACAATTTGACACCCACCTGCATGCTGTCGCTTCTTGCGCTGCACTGCGGCGCCTATGAGCTCGACCAGCTGCTGCTCCGTGCAGCCCTCGCTGCGCATGGCGTCGCGCAGCGAGAACTCCTTGTTGCCAAAGAGGCACACCTTGATGTTGCCGTCGGCCGTCAGGCGGAGGCGATTGCAGGTGCCGCAGAAGTGCTCAGTCATGGAGGTGATGAAGCCCAGTTGGCCAGCGAAGCCAGGCACCGCATACGCCTTGGAGGTGTCGTTCGGTCCGTTGGGCAGCGCCTGGAACTCGGGCCATCGCTGACGAATAGTCTGCACCGTTTCGCTGTAAGAGATCAGGCGCTCCGTCTGCCACTTGTTGCCCGAGAAGGGCATATATTCTATGAACCGCACGTCCACGGGTCGCTCGCGGGTGAATTCCACAAAGTCGCAAATCTCATCCTCATTGAAGTTGCGCATCAGCACGCAGTTGATCTAGAATCATGTATGATGAGTCGCTCCATTAGGAATGATAATATGTAGTTTATATTATGCTGACCTTTGGTCGGTAGCCGAGCTGAATGGCCAGATCGATGCCCGCGATGACCCGCTCCCAGCCCTTGCGGCGCGTTATCTGCTCGAAGCGCTCCTTGCGCAGCGTGTCCAAGCTGATGTTCAGCGTATCCAGGCCAGCGCGCTGCAGCGGCACCAGTAAGCGCGTCAGCACCAGCCCATTGGTGGTGATGCCCACGTGCTCGAGCTGGGGCAGCGCCTTCAGCTGAGCCACCACCTCCACTATGTCGCGCCGCACCGTCGGTTCGCCGCCCGTCAGACGTATCTTGCGCACGCCCTGCTCCACGAAGATGCGCGCCAGGCGCAGCACCTCCTCGGTGCTCAGCAGCTGGGACTTGGGCTGCAGCGGCACACCCTCGGCCGGCATGCAGTAGTCACCTGTAATTGAAGAGCCGAAACTATTTCACCACTGCTTATCAGCGACGAGCACTCAAAGTCTGGCACTCGGACAGATAACGTCCTCACCCAATCGGGCAGCACTGAAGTCGACTTACAGCGCAGGTTGCAGCGCTCGGTGAGCGAAATCCTCAGGTATGTGTGATGCCGCCCAAAGCTGTCTGTCAGGGGCGAGGCGGCAGCAGCTCTCTATGTACGAATGTCATTCACACAGATTAATCAAAGTCTATTTTATATAAATTATATGGTAATCACCTGCGTGACAGCCGCTTCCAGCGCATTGTTGTCGCTCTTAATATCGAGTTGTGCACCTGTTGCCGCACTCTTTGCCGCCGTCGCCAGTTTGTGGAACTGGGAACCGGTTGCCATGTTTGACGCCTGTCGCCTGAGCTGTGCCGTGCATTGCCGCAGCCACAGGTTCGAGCGTTTCACCAGCAATCGCATTTGATGGACCTTTATACGTTGTTGCCTCTAATCAGAGACTATTGACACGGCCGATGGATTACCTAACCTACAATTCGCTGCTGGGGGCTTGCCGCCTGGATTCCGCTGTGCCATCAAAACATTCCAATTAGAAGCAATTCTGATAAGCATGAACTTAGACCCGGCAATGTGCTTACGCTTACCTCACAAGCGAAAGCGTTTGTTATTCCCACTCGAATAGCTCCGCACCGGCGAAAATACGAACAGCAACAGCCGAGCGTTGTTTATAAACTGAACGCTCTGATCATATGGCATTTATACACCGCGAGCTTTGGTCCGAAAGCTCTGCAAATCCATCTAAGCACACGCACACAGTTGAAAGTTGTATTGGTGTAACAAGTCTAATTAATGAACAAGCAATTTGTAATCTACTACGCTGGCGGGTAGCCCTACTATATGAACGATTTCATCTTATCGGACAGTTCATATGAAAATATAAATGTAATAATCAAAGAAATGAGTAAATGCATATATAATCTCTGGGCAGATCTTATAAAATCAAAAAGAAGGCATATTTTGAATTTAAGTTTTTATAAACATTTTTATTTATTTAGTTTTATATACATACAGTAGAATCCGGTTATAGCGACACTCAAGGGACCGACGATTTAACGGTTGCCATGTTCGTAATAGCTTTTACTATAAAATAATTTAAATTTTTAATCAAAAGAACCATTTTTTATAAACTTATTTCAATAACATGGTTTAGAAACATTTTTGTGACGTCGGCATTGTACTTTGTATCTCTCCCTCTCTCTGTCTTAGCAGCATTTTTGGCGTTGCTACGCACACAATCAAGGATACTGATCACTGATAAATAAAATAAGTAAAAAAAATTGAGTTTTTTTCCACTGTGTAAAGCGTTTCTTGACAGACTGTATACATTTCTAACAGTCTTTTTATGCTGAAATTTGTTGTCATTATTTCTCGATTTTTTTTATTACGTCTTAATAACGGGTAATTGACTCAAAAATATGAAAAAAATCTTAGGCATAAGCGGACTGTCGTTAAAAGCGGAGACGTACTAAGCGGAGGCTCTTTCATATAAGTTCGTATGGGGACCAAACAAGACATCGGATTTTCGTCGATTTAACCGGTTGGACGCTTTAAGCGGAGTCGTTATAACCGGATTCTACTGTATATGTGCATATATTCCATTCCACATTCAGTCATATATATGTATTACATTTATTAAAAATAATACAATAACAAAATTTTTGCTGAATCAATTAGAAATTTCGGTCGTTGCACACATTCATAAAACTTCATTATTCCTAAGAAATGTATAATTTTAACAGGGTGTCATTGTGAAGTTTCATGAGCTTCACTGTCTCTCTCGCTTTTTTTTTTTTAGATAATATAACACAAAATTTTAAGGATTTTAATCAAAACTGAATACATTTTGATGACCATTACAAAAACAAATAAAATA